AAATTAGATATTTGTACTGGAAAACAAGACAAAAATCATGTTTTGCAGTCCAGTCTTACCAACTCCAAACTTTTGAACGGTAATGTAAGTGTAAGTGATCAGTAAACGAAATCTTTTCCTCTTCACCGTTAAAGATGAAGTGTGTCATTCTGTGCCACTAGTGTCACCAAACAGAATTGCAATAATGAAAATGATTTCCTGATTTTTCCCATTGGTCGATTCTCCAATAAGCAAAGCAATATTTCACATTCAAACGTGGATTTTGTGTGTATTTTAACAAACCAAAAAATAACACTTCAGATTTAAGAGAGTAGCCTCGTACAGAACAGTTTCATACTAAATAAATACAAAATGCGGGATAACAATATGATATATACCCAACGCTTACAGTCTTTTGAGCAGTTGATATCAGTCTGTTGAGAATCCTTGTTAGGCAGGGAAACAGATGGAGCAGCATTCCAAACAGATCTCCAGACAGTCTGAAGACTGGCAACAGTCCTCCAGTATCCCACAGTCCAGCAGGGCAGAGCAGGTGTCCTCAGCACAGCACGCCAGACCTCCGGTGGCCACTTCCCCACAGCAGCAGAGAGCGTCACACTCCAGACCGCAGGCCAAACACCGAGCAACGGCCGAACACCACGACAGCACCTCGCAGAACAGACAGCCTAGTATGCAGTGCGCACAGCAGTCTGAAACCAGCCACAAACATACTCTGTTTATGACAGTATTTAAAACAATGTGTGCCCTTTTTGTGACCTTATGACGATATAATTAATTGAACTTTGTCATATTATTTGAAAGATTGAAAGAAAGTCTTACATGTAATGCAAAGGATTTATTTGATCAAAAATGCAGTAAAAACAATAATATTGTTGCAATTTAAAATAGCTATTTTCTAAATGAATATATTTTAAAAATGTAATTTATTGCTGTGATCAAAGCTGAATTGTCAGCATCATCACTCCAGTCTTCAGTGGCACATGATCCTTCAGAAATCATTCTAATATGCTGATTTGCAGCTCAAGAAACATTTCTGATTATTATCAGCACTGAAAACAGTTGTGCTGCTTCATATTTTTGTGGAAACAGTGATGCCTTTTTTCAGGATTCTTGAATAGAAATGAAAAAACAGCATTTATTTGAAATAAAAATATTTTGTAACATTATAAATGTCTTTAATGTCACTTCTGATCAATTTAATGTGAGAAATAACTTTAAAAGTATTAAGTATTAGCTTTATTTTAGAATACAGAAACCGCTATTGAAATTAGAATAGCCACTGTTATTTTTTTTTTAAATGTTTTATGCATTTTCTGAGAAAATACAAATTTAGTAATATTCTCTGCACTTTTTTCCCAACCTTGTTATGCTGTGATATTTTTTTCTCCTTTTTTTTTGTATGATGGTTTTAACTTTCTGATGTTATTATAATCAAGAGAGTGACATTATACGTTTTTGATCACAGTAATCAAACTTAAGTGTCTACTGGCCGTTATTAGCATTTTATTATGTTTACACTTATATTACCCTCTGAAAACTCACAGCAGTCTTTTTTTCTACATTCAAAAACATAGACTATAAATAATGTGGTAAATAATGTCATTTTTGTTTGTCATTTCTATTTCAAGCACACAAAAACAGAGATACCACCAGAATGTGCTTATTTTATCTATTTAAATCATGTGAATTCCTTCACAACATGTGAAATAATGCCACAAACTCATGGAATTATCAAAACATCAAGCCCTCTGAGTATTTAAAGTCACTATGTAGAAGAATATTTATCAGCTAATGTGAATTAGTCATCAAACAGAGATATTTGACCTAATGGAAAGAATGATCAAGTGCTGACATGAAGGGACCATTAAACACATGAAGATAAATCCACAGGCCCATCCTAGTGTCGCTGAAAGATAAGACCAGGCCCTATATTTACGAATAGCCCTGTGGGTGGAGGTCTCTTTTCAAACATGCCCCACATGCTCTAAAAATACATACAAATATTGACACTAAAAGGTTGACGGTTTGACTATGGATTGAACCAATAGATATCATTTTTAAAAGGCAAATGGTTTTCTTACCATCTCCAGCTACTCTCTGTATCTGTGAGGCATCACCCTTAAAGCTCTGCTGGCTCTTGGAGGTGGAGGGTGTGTGTTTTCTGTGAGGGTGTTTGTGTCCATTGCACTTTGCATGCCCGTTGCATTTCTGTTGTGTTGTCGGGCGAGGCATCGATCCTCCTGATGAAGAAGCCGGTGGTGTACGGATGATAGCAGGCCCATTGACTGGAGGAGAGGAGCCACTGGGAATACTGGGCTTCACTGAAATGTGTTCAATTCAGATAATAAGTCACTTTAATACATTACAGTTTGTAAAATATATAGTATTACAAATAATGCACTTGCAACCAATTATCATAAATGTATTATATAGTCAGTTTTATTACTATGTTTGCATTCTATGCCTTGTGTTAAGGAATAGTTCACAGAAAAGAAAAATACATGGTCGGAACTAGCAAATTATTCTCATTTTTGGTAGAATTATTCTTTTCAATTGTTCATTGCCTTCTGATGCATAAAAATGTAAATACCATTGCCTTTCTCTATTTTGCGTGAAATTGTAGGTATGTGGTCAGGAAGCAGTAAAGCATCGTCGTTGGTTGTGACACCGTCTGTCAGGGACTCGTTGCTTCCACTGTCAACAATCTCAGCTGGGACAGGACCTGTCAGTCACAAACAATTATTTAAAGGAATAGTTCACCTCAAAATTAAAATGTGCTTAAAATGTACTTACTCTCAGGCTATCCAAGATGTAGATGAGTTTGTTTCTTCATGGGAACTGATTTGGATAAATGTAGCATTGCATCACTTGCTCACCAGTGGATCCTCTGCAGTGAATGGGTGCCGTCAGAATGAGAGTCCAAACAGCTGATAAAAACATCACAATAATCCACAAGTAACCAACACCACTCCAATCCATCAATTAACATGTGAAATGAGAAGCTGTGTGTTTGTAAGAAACAAATCTATCATTAAGAGATTTAACCATAAACTGTCACATCCATCAATCCATAAAAAGTCTATCCTCTGTTGTTCTCTCACATCAAAATCTACCAACATACTTGTTTTAAATGGTTTTCACTGGTAAAAGTGTGTAATCTGTGCATCTCGATTCAGATGAGACGACTTTTTGACTGGAGAAACAATATTATGGATCAACTTTAACTGGTGGACTGGAGCTGTGTGGATTATTTGTGGTTCATTGTGATGTTTTTATCAGCTGTTTGGACTGTTATTCTGATGGCACCCATTGACTGCAGAGGATCCATTGGTGAGCAAGTGACGTGATGCTACATTTCTCCAAATCTGTTCGCATTAAGTAACAAACTCATCTACATCTTGGATGGCCCAAGAGTGAGTAAATGTTTAGCAAATTTTCATTTTTGGGTGAACTGTTCCTTTATGTTTGTCTAAAAGCTTTCAAAATTGTTGGCGTATAAATGTAATGACAATTTTAAATGCTATTTATCCCATGTAAATTAAGCTTAAAAGCTACATATGCTCAAAAATAAACAGATTTGCTTCATAAACAACCCTCTCACCTGTGACGTCAGGTTTGCCGGTGGCCTGTGGTTGTGTTGTGTGGACATGATTCTCCGGGGGCACGACCTGCCCTCCGTCCTGCTGTTGGACATCCATGGCTTCTGTCTCCATTTGAGACGCTTGACTCTAACTCTGTGAAAAAATCCAGAAAGAGAAGCATTTAGCATAGATGGACTGTACGGAGTCAGTCTGGGTGTTTGTGGGGTAAGGGATCCTAATGGAAACCTCTAGTATGATGACTTTTATCCTCTAAGACAGCCCGAGAAACATTTCAAAATGTGACTTGAGTGCATGAAAGATATTTGTGCTGCTGCTCTGAAATGAGCTGAAGTTAATGAGTTAAGTCTTTAATAATTGCACTGTCCATGGAGCGGACCTGACTTACATTTCTCTGTTGGTCATATACAGGTGCATCTCAACAAATTAGAATGTCGTGGAAAAGTTCATTTATTTCAGTAATTCAACTCAAATTGTGAAACTCGTGTATTAAATAAATTCAATGCACACAGACTGAAGTAGTTTAAGTCTATATAACCATGTATGTGACATAAAAAAATCTTGAATCTTGAAAGTGATTTGGGAAAGTGTCTAATCTGAACATCCTGCTGAGTCAGACAATATCATCAAAGCCCTGAGTGAATGTGCCGGAGCCATAATAAACATTTTGGACATTTGTTTGCTGTTTTAAAAATCTGCCTGCTTTTTCCTACAGAGCATTCATTGTTGCAAATCTCTCTAGTTAAATGCTTGTCCTTATCTGACCCTAATTCTGAGTCAATCTATGTTTACCACAGCTAATATTTTTTAATGTTATTTCGTACTTTATAGTATCTATCTACAAAATGATTTGAATAAGGTACAAACCCAATTGCAAAAAAGTTGGGACACTGTAGAAATTGTGAGTAAAAAAGGAATGGAATAATTTACAAATCTCATAAACTTATATTTTATTCACAATAGAATATAGATAACATATCAAATGTTGAAAGTGAGACATTTTGAAATGTCATGCCAAATATTGGCTCATTCTGGATTTCATGAGAGCTACACATTCCAAAGAAGTTGGGACAGGTAGCAATAAGAGGCCGGAAAAGTTAAATGTACATATAAGGAACAGCTGGAGGACCAATTTGCAACTTATTAGGTCAATTGGCAACATGATTGGGTATAAAAAGAGCCTCTCAGAGTGGCAGTGTCTCTCAGAAGTCAAGATGGGCAGAGGATCACCAATTCCCCCAATGCTGCGGCGAAAAATAGTGGAGCAATATCAGAAAGGAGTTTCTCAGAGAAAAATTGCAAAGAGTTTGAAGTTATCATCATCTACAGTGCATAATATCATCCAAAGAATCAGAGAATCTGGAACAATCTCTGTGCATAAGGGTCAAGGCCGGAAAACCATACTGGAGGCCCGTGATCTTCGGGCCCTTAGACGGCACTGCATCACATACAGGAATGCTACTGTAATGGAAATCACAACATGGGCTCAGGAATACTTCCAGAAAACAATGTCGGTGAACACAATCCACCGTGCCATTCGCCGTTGCCGGCTAAAACTCTATAGGTCAAAAAAGAAGCCATATCTAAACATGATCCAGAAGCGCAGGCGTTTTCTCTGGGCCAAGGCTAATTTAAAATGGACTGTGGCAAAGTGAAAAACTGTTCTGTGGTCAGACGAATCAAAATTTGAAGTTCTTTTTGGAAAACTGGGACGCCATGTCATCCGGACTAAAGAGGACAAGGACAACCCAAGTTGTTATCAGCGCTCAGTTCAGAAGCCTGCATCTCTGATGGTATGGGGTTGCATGAGTGCGTGTGGCATGGGCAGCTTACACATCTGGAAAGGCACCATCAATGCTGAAAGGTATATCCAAGTTCTAGAACAACATATGCTCCCATCCAGACGTCGTCTCTTTCAGGGAAGACCTTGCATTTTCCAACATGACAATGCCAGACCACATACTGCATCAATTACAACATCATGGCTGCGTAGAAGAAGGATCCGGGTACTGAAATGGCCAGCCTGCAGTCCAGATCTTTCACCCATAGAAAACATTTGGCGCATCATAAAGAGGAAGATGCGACAAAGAAGACCTAAGACAGTTGAGCAACTAGAAGCCTGTATTAGACAAGAATGGGACAACATTCCTATTCCTAAACTTGAGCAACTTGTCTCCTCAGTCCCCAGACGTTTGCAGACTGTTATAAAAAGAAGAGGGGATGCCACACAGTGGTAAACATGGCCTTGTCCCAACTTTTTTGAGATGTGTTGATGCCATGAAATTTTAAAATCAACTTATTTTTCCCTTAAAATTATACATTTTCTCAGTTTAAACATTTGATATGTCATCTATGTTGTATTCTGAATAAAATATTGAAATGTGAAACTTCCACATCATTGCATTGTTTTTATTCACAATTTGTACAGTGTCCCAACATTTTTGGAATCGGGTTCGTATATCCGACGCTGAATAGATCTATTGTATATGTACATATTTGTCTTAAAGATAATAAAAGGACATTTCTGATGTCCTGCAGATCACTTTAAAACCTTGACTATTACTTGCTTTTATAACTTTTACAAGGTTACTTAAAAATTTAACCTTGAAACATGAATAAACATTATAGAATAGATAACATACACGACTGACGTACATCTTAGATATTAGACATTGCATAATATATATTAATTTACTTAGTAAAGTATTGAACAGAAGCAATGACTAATAATAATGAACGTTAGTTGTAAGCTGTCACCACAACAAACAGTGTCGTAAATGTCAAACTATTGCTTGGACCATATACATATTTGTAGATATATAAAAGGATTAAAGTTTGAATTTAATTGAATTAAAGCTTGAATTTAATCCAAATTAACCACACGTTGTTTTGAAAATTAAAATTTGTACATACAATTGCACTTGAAACAAGTAAACATTGTCTACTGACTCAGAAAGAAGTGAAATTACCAAAGCATGAACACACAAGATTGAATCGAAGTCTTACCTTAACTCGAATAACTCCAGTCTTGTACCGAGGACGTTTTAATTCACTTTAATTCAGAACGAAGGCGTGTTGTTCGTCTGCGAGCGCGAGCTGCATCTGCTCTGCTGACATCCTTCCTGCACTGCAGGGAATCCACAACTTTAATAACGATTTGTTTTATTTCGTTGTGGTTTATCACATGATTTTCCTGCAGTATAGCTACCATTTTTTTTAAATCTCGTTTTTCTACTGCATTTATCAAACATACCTTCTTTACCCATGCATTAATAATAGCCTACACTACGGTGGCAGAGAAGTGCAAAACAAATCACAATTCTGAAAACAAAATAACAAATTACAAACGCAAATGCAAGTCTAAAAAACAAAATAACAATTCAGAAAACATTATAACATGTCAAAAAACACAAAGACAAATTCGAAAACAAAATAACAAGTCAGAAAACACAATGGAACTTTTTTCCCCTCGCTTTTCAAATCTCGAATTAGCAATAGATTCTATTTACACTAAGTGAAAATAGCAGTATTTTTTTAGCAATGTGCTATTTACACTAAGTGCAAATACCTATTTACACTGTTAAAACAGCAGGATTTCTACTATCAAGTATACATATCATTTTAATTTAAATTTTTAAATGGATGCCACCTTATTGGTACAATAAAGCCCTCCCTACACCTACCCTAACCCAACCGATACTTTATTTTCAACTTTTTGATTATTTCCTTAATTTTTATTGAAAATAAATGCCTTTACGATGTGATACGAGATTTGAAAAGGGAGAAAAAAAAAGTTCGGCAAAAGGCAGGATCGAACCTGGGTCGATCGCGTCAAAAACCCAACAACACGCACTTATCCATCTGCGCCACTGGAGCTGATGTTTTACTGCCACTTTTAACTAAGTGTAAATAGACACTCCGTATTTTTTATTCCATAGTAAGGGCAATTCATACAATACATTTAAACTGAGCTACTTTAATACCATCTCCGAACTTTCTACCACGACTCTGCTGTTCTTCGGCTGGTTCTTCTCTGTATATGTTGATTGACAGATGTCTCGTCCAGTCAGCGGTGAGTAATCCCAAACCAATGGCGCTGTCTCAAACTATACCTACCTCTTCCGGTTTGTCTGATTTGTCCTTGTGTTTTCTGACTTGTTAATTTGTTTCTTGGGCTATGAGCTTCTCCACCCTTCCTCCAGACTCTAGGACCTTGGTTTCCAAATGAAATACAAAACTTGCTCTCGTCTGAAAAGAGGACTTTGGACCACTGGGCAACAGTCCAGTTCTTCTTCTCCTTAGCCTAGGTAAGACGCCTCTGACGTTGTCTGTGGTTCAGGAGTGGCTTAACGAGGAATACGACAACTGTAGCCAAATTCCTTGACACGTCTGTGTGTGGTGGCTCTTGATGCCTTGACCCCAGCCTTAGTCCACTCCTTGTGACGTTCACTCAAATTCTTGAATCGATTTTGCTTGACAATCCTCATAAGGCTGCGGTTATTTCGGTTGGTTGTGCATCTTTTTCTTCCACACTTTTTCCTTCCACTCAACTTTCTGTTAACATGCTTGGATACAGCACTCTGTGAACAGCCAGCTTCTTTGGCAATGAATGTCTGTGGCTTACCCTCCTTGTGAAGGGTGTCAATGATTGTCTTCTGGACAACTGTCAGATCAGCAGTCTTCCCCATGATTGTGTAGCCTAGTGAACCAAACTGAGAGACCATTTTGAAGGCTCAGGAAACCTTTGCAGATGTTTTGAGTTGATTAGCTGATTGGCATGTCACCATATTCTAATTTGTTGAGATAGTGAATTGGTGGGTTTTTGTTAAATGTGAGCCAAAATCATCACAATTAAAAGAATCAAAGACTTAAAATACTTCAGTCTGTGTGCATTGAATTTATTTAATACACGAGTTTCACAATTTGAGTTGAATTACTGAAATAAATGAAATTTTCCAGGACATTCTAATTTATTGAGATGCACCTGTATATATATAAAGAGAGGGAGAGAGAATGTAATATATTATCTAAATGGCCATGACAGCGCAGAATAGCTGTTACACAAATGTGCCATCGTTCAAATGGAAGTTTGGCATCACAAAGCATCAAAAAATACATAAAATGTAGTATATAGCTGTATATTAAAGTGTGTCTTTACAGCATATAGACTGACATTCTGTAGAATATAAACTGCACAGGTAGACTCTATAACAGGAAAGTTGTTGATATGTAAATGTCTGGATTAAAGTAGTAACAGAACATACAGATAATGTAAAATTAAATCCACGTTCAGTGTCTTCTCTCATGTTATAGGACAGCGAAATGTCAGACTTGGAGCAACCTCCCGGACCGGAGATGAGTCTGAACTGGAGCAATGCACCTGTTTATTGCATTTGTCGCAAACCAGACATCAACTGCTTTATGATGTAAGATGTGTTTCTCTTTAAATGTTTGCATGCAGTTTTTAAATTTTTTAGTATTTTTAATCGTAAGTTTCACATTATTTTCATGTACACAGTGCTTGTGACAACTGCAGTGAGTGGTTTCATGGAGAATGCATTAATATATCAGAGAAGATGTCCAAAACCATCCGTGTTTGGTACTGTGAAAAGTGTCGCAGTAAGAATTTTTTTCAACATTCTAATTTATTGAGATGCACCTGTATATATATAAAGAGAGGGAGAGAGAATGTAATATATTATCTAAATGGCCATGACAGCTCAGAATAGCTGTTACTCAAATGTGCCATCGTTCAAATAGAAGTTTGGCATCACAAAGCATAAAAAAATACATAAAATGTAGTATATAGCAGTATATTAAAGCGTGTCTTTACAGCATATAGACTGACATTCTGTAGAATATAAACTGCACAGGTAGACTCTATAACTGGAAAGTTGTTGATATGTAAATGTCTGGATTAAAGTAGTTACAGAACATACAGATAATGTAAAATTAAATCCACGTTCAGTGTCTTCTCTCATGTTATAGGACAGCGAAATGTCAGACTTGGAGCAACCTCCCGGACCGGAGATGAGTCTGAACTGGAGCAATGCACCTGTTTATTGCGTTTGTCGCAAACCAGACATCAACTGCTTTATGATGTAAGATGTGTTTCTCTTTAAATGTTTGCATGCAGTTTTTAAATTTTTTAGTATTTTTAATCGTAAGTTTCACATTATTTTCATGTACACAGTGCTTGTGACAACTGCAGTGAGTGGTTTCATGGAGAATGCATTAATATATCAGAGAAGATGTCCAAAACCATCCGTGTTTGGTACTGTGAAAAGTGTCGCAGTAAGAATTTTTTTAAAAAATTTTTTTAATTATTTAAAAACATACAAAATAATTATATTTTATTTATTTTTACTTTTAATTATTAATATTTTATTTTATAATTATTATTTTATCAGTTTTTTTACCTATAGCATCAAAAACAGCCCTGAGTATGTACATCCTGTGATCTAGGTAAAAATGAATCCCTAGAGATCAAATTCCGTCCCAAGAAAAGCAGAGAGAAAGAAGCGGAGCCAGATGGGACCGATAACCAGAACGACACACCGGATTTCAAGTCAGATGGACGGCGTGGGTCACAGGTGAGAAATTCGGATGATAAAGCTGCTCTCTTACAATGACCTTTGTGAAGACCGGGGCTGAAAACAGTGTTGTTTGTTAACCTTTGGACTGGCTATGGGGAATATCTGGGATTTGTCCACAGATTAAGCGCTCAGCTCGCATGTGTGGAGAATGTGAAGCCTGCATGCGCACAGAGGACTGTGGACTATGTGACTTCTGTAAAGACATGAAGAAGTTCGGAGGCCCAAATAAGATCCGGCAGAAGTGTCGTCTGAGGCAGTGTCAAGTGCGTGCTAGGGTGAGTTTTACTCTTGTAAAAAGTGTCGTATTGCCAGTGATTTTGTCTTTCCTATCATATGCCTTTATGGTATATTTTAAGGTATAACAACGTTTTATTGACTCTGTGTACGATATGATGCATCTCAGCAGTTAATCCCAAATGGTTCTGTAAGTTTTAAGGGGTTTTATTGATTGTTAGTAATTTTCATTTAGCAGACACTTTTATCCATAGCAATTTCAGTACACTTATTACAGAGAAAATTTGTCTGAAGTGAGTCTGGGTTATAATAATTAACTAAAACTAAAACCATAAAAGCATTTGTGTTACTTGAAATAAAATAAATAATAACTGGGAAAAAAACATTAAAAACTTAAACTTTTTTTATTTCAGCTAGTTGCCAAGGAAACATTTCTCATTTTCATTTAGTTTAACTTGATGTACTAAAATAACTGAAATAAAATTTTTTATAAATAGCTATATAGATAGATATAAAAAATGACAGACACACAACAAAGTGACTAAAACTTTGTCTAAAATGAAAATCTAAAAATAAAAACTAATTTATATAATAGTATCTCAATGATATTTAAATTACACTGGAAGTAACCTGAGGTTAAGGATTATCCCTTGTGGAACCTGCAACCTTTCAGTTTCCATCCCTTTTTAACCACTGTGCATCCTATTTTTTTTTATTTTTCAGAAAATGTTGCGAGTGAAGGATGAGGAGTGCTCCAAGGGCAGAGACTATCAAGATGGCCCGCTGTCTGAAGACTACAGTGAGAATGAGCTGGAGCTGTATCAGCAGTACCGTGCCGGGAAGTATGGAGACCACAGCACGGTACCTGCTTCTCCTCACACTCACATCACACTTCAGAGAAACATAAAATACCTTTTTAAAGGAAGTTAGCCCACTTGGATATCTTAGTCAAACTTCTGGACACACATTTCCAGCAAGTCAAGAACCGCTCCTATGCTCTTGAATGGGAAACAATAAAAATGTACTGTTTGCAAAATTGATCAAATCAGCAATAAAACTTAAATAAATGTATATCAGGTGAGACAAAATGTTTTTTAGGCTGATGCATGTGCAGGAAGTAAATTACTTTATATTGTCTATAGGATGAGATTGACGATACTTCCTTTTGCAGAAATGGTTGTGCCTAAACTTTTTTTTTTTTTTTTTTAACCAGGGTTGGAACAGTGATGACGATGATGGTTCATATGCTGATTCAGCTATGAGAAAGAGAGCTGTTAAAGTCAAGCACGTGAAAAGAAGAGAAAAGCGATCTGAAAAAAAGGTAAAGACCTCAAAATATGTGCATAAAATGCTTGAACCTTTAGACAAGATATTTTTAAAAATGTATTAAAAATATACATTTTACATTATGCATCTGTGTTTTGGATGAGTATCATATTTGATGCATCAGGCTTTTATGGATTGCATGGTGTGATAGACGAGAGTATGGAGCTCAATTTTAGTCAGAGGCCCAAATTGAGCAAGAATATGCAGAATATATGCAGCAAAAAAAATTGGTGCAGATGCTGATATTCATATGGCCAAAAAATAAGAAGAAATTCTGAAAGCTTGTATACAATAAAGTATATCAGTTGTCGCTCTGTATCACCCAAAAATATGTCTTAGTAAGATGATATTTTAAATCTTAGTTTATAGTTTACAGTTTACATGTAGTAGAATGTGTACAACAACGTATTGACCATGTTAATAATTAGCAAATCAAATATGACACTATCTTTTCATAGCCATTTTTGGTTTGATGTAGATCATTGTGCTTAAAATGGAACATAATTATGGCTTTGTTTTCATTCATAAGAAAGAGGAGAATAAGTCTCGGAAGCACAAACCTAAACAGAAACACCGCGACCGGGTGAGACACAGCGAGCGGGCAGAGGTTTGGGACAGCGGAGGAGCCAGACAGTGCCTCGGACCCGGATGTGTCGAAGCTGCACGTGCCAACTCTAAATACTGCTCTGATGACTGCGGCATGAAACTCGCTGCCAAGTAAACCTCGAAATGCTTTACAGTTGTAGAGAGTTGTATGTAAGAGATTAGACAGACTCTCAACATTTCTGTATCTTTTTGTCTTGCCAGTCGAATCTATGAGATCCTGCCCCAGCGTATCCAGCAGTGGCAGCAGAGCCCGTGCATTGCTGAAGAACAGGGCAAGAAACTTCTAGATCGAATCCGCCGTGAGCAACAGTCAGCTCGCACGCGACTCACTGATATGGAGAAACGGTTCCACGAGCTGGAGGGCATCATTGCTAAAGCCAAACAGCAGGTTGTGCAGCACGATGAAGAGGTAAAAGCCCTCATAAACATAGTTTCAGCATTCTGTTGCTTTAAAAACACTGTAAATACGTTACAGTATAATTGTTTCATCTTATATTTTAAATGAATAAAATGCAATTAAAGAAAATTTAATTTATTCCTGTGATGCAAAGCAGAATTTTCCGCAGCCATTATTCCAGTCTTCAGTGTTACATGATGTTATCAAGATTTTTACATCAAAAAACATATTTTAGCAGTAATAGGCTATTTTTTGTCCGGTTTTGAATCACAACGCTCCGTTTGAATAGGTGTGGCGGATTGTAGACTCAGAAGTAAACACCCACTCCGGTGTCGAATTGTGCCTTGTTTGCAAACTAATCTACGGTGAAATGAGGTGAACAAACGACCAACCTTTAATCTGACATGGTCTGGAACTTCATTAAAAATAAAGCTAATCCACTCTTTCCTAAATGTTGGGATCCGATGGAAGGCAATGCAAAGACTGTGTTGGTCCACAGTTTGGCACTGCACAGCATCTTGTTGTCTTTGGAGCATCTTTATCGTTTGGTTTCTGTGTAAACCTGCATTCGTCACTCTCGTTATTTACACTATGTGCACGAATCAGTGGGTGGAGCTAAACAGGCAGTGATGTAGAAGCAAGCGTTGATGATCTTCTGCGGAGGCGGGTTTTACCCACTCTATTACGTCATAAACTGGCACATTCCACAATCTGCCATTTTGGCAGATTGGCTTCAATATAAGCTGTTTTTAGACTAATGAGAAAGTTTTGAGTTCTGAAACTTACAAGATGTTTTTATAGTACAATGACCTCTTATATGTCAAAAGATCAAGGGAATTTTTGATTTCTCAGTTCATGACCCCTTTAATGTTTTTGAAAGTCTCTTCCGCTGAACAAGGCTGCATTTATTTGATCAAAAATACAGTAAAAACAGTAATATTGTGAAATAATTGTTACATTTTTAAAATATTTTTTTTCTATTTGAATATATTTCAATGAAATGTAATTTATTCCTGTAATACAAAGCTGAATTTTCAGCATAATTTCTCCAGTCTTCAGTGTCACATGATCTTTCAGAAATCATTCTAATATGCTGATTTTCTGCTCAAGAAAAAATTCTTATTATCAATGTTGAAATCAGTTGTGCTGCTTAATAGTTTTGTGAAAACCATGATTCATCTTTTTCAGAATTCTTTGATTAATAGAAAGTTAAAAAGAACAGCATTTATTTTAAATAAAAGTATTTTGTAAAATTATAAATGTTCGTGTACACACATACACACACGCATATATACTGCTTCATGTAAAATAAATCTGTGATATATTTTTTATATTTATTGATTATATGCCTATATCATGCAATGTTAGTGTGCATTTTTTCAAGAGTACTGTTCATTTCTTTGTAAAATGCGGGCAAAAAGTACGGAGTGCACCTTTAATGCCTTTGACAAAAGCAAATAATATATTTGTGCACAATCTTGAAGTCTCATTATTTCGGCTGTTTTTCTTCTTGAAAAATATAGTGCTACACGGCTCTTCTGTGATGTTTACAATCCACAAAGCAAAACCTACTGTAAGAGACTGCAGGTTCTCTGTCCAGAACACTCCAGAGACCCAAAGGTACTTTACCACGTGCATTTGATACATAAACGCCCAATCTGCATAGAACATTAATCAGAACTGTGCATGTATGCATGCAGGTCCCTGCGGATGAGGTCTGTGGGTGTCCATTAGTTCGTGATGTATTTGAACCCACCGGAGAATATTGCAGGGTGTCCAAACGCAAGTGTAACAAACACTACTGCTGGGAGAAGCTCCGCAGGGCCGAAGTGGACCTGGAACGAGTCCGAGTGGTCAGTGCATAAAGTTTTGAGTTCTGAAACTTACAAGATGTTTTTATAGTACAATGACCTCTTATATGTCAAAAGATCAAGGGAATTTTTGATTTCTCAGTTCATGACCCCTTTAATGTTTTTGAAAGTCTCTTCCGCTGAACAAGGCTGCATTTATTTGATCAAAAATACAGTAAAAACAGTAATATTGTGAAATAATTGTTACATTTTTAAAATATTTTTTTTCTATTTGAATATATTTCAATGAAATGTAATTTATTCCTGTAATACAAAGCTGAATTTTCAGCATAATTTCTCCAGTCTTCAGTGTCACATGATCTTTCAGAAATCATTCTAATATGCTGATTTTCTGCTCAAGAAAAAATTCTTATTATCAATGTTGAAATCAGTTGTGCTGCTTAATAGTTTTGTGAAAACCATGATTCATCTTTTTCAGAATTCTTTGATTAATAGAAAGTTAAAAAGAACAGCATTTATTTTAAATAAAAGTATTTTGTAAAATTATAAATGTTCGTGTACACACATACACACACGCATATATACTGCTTCATGTAAAATAAATCTGTGATATATTTTTTATATTTATTGATTATATGCCTATATCATGCAATGTTAGTGTGCATTTTTTCAAGAGTACTGTTCATTTCTTTGTAAAATGCGGGCAAAAAGTACGGAGTGCACCTTTAATGCCTTTGACAAAAGCAAATAATATATTTGTGCACAATCTTGAAGTCTCATTATTTCGGCTGTTTTTCTTCTTGAAAAATATAGTGCTACACGGCTCTTCTGTGATGTTTACAATCCACAAAGCAAAACCTACTGTAAGAGACTGCAGGTTCTCTGTCCAGAACACTCCAGAGACCCAAAGGTACTTTACCACGTGCATTTGATACATAAACGCCCAATCTGCATAGAACATTAATCAGAACTGTGCATGTATGCATGCAGGTCCCTGCGGATGAGGTCTGTGGGTGTCCATTAGTTCGTGATGTATTTGAACCCACCGGAGAATATTGCAGGGTGTCCAAACGCAAGTGTAACAAACACTACTGCTGGGAGAAGCTCCGCAGGGCCGAAGTGGACCTGGAACGAGTCCGAGTGGTCAGTGCATTTGCAAAAGAATCGTTTATTTGAAGGAAAGAATTGATTTATTTGGATCAAAGAAAATAGCTGTGTAATTGTAAACTCAAAGTGATTAAGATGTTCTTGCTTTTCCCACAGGAGTGCATTTTCATTCATCAATCTTATATTTAATCTTTCATTTCTTCAGTCATTCCCATTATGTCTTCTCTTTCCCTAGTGGTACAAGTTGGATGAATTGTTTGAGCAGGAGCGCAATCTAAAAACAGCCATGACGAATCGTGCAGGTCTCATGGCCCTCATGCTGCACCAGACAATCCAACACGACCCAGTTACCACAGACCTGAGAACTAACAAGGACAGATAAGGTTACTGTCATTCCCTTTTATCATCTTTTCATCTTTTCTCCATTCCATTTGCACATCAACCATGAAGCAACTCTCCTGACAGTCTGAGGTTTTGTCTTTGATCTTACAGAGAAAAGGAACCATTGCTGGTGAAGTCGCCTCACGTTTGTGAAGAGTCAGTGTCATAGTAGTTGCTTGTTGAAACTGTAATTCATGTACAACACTCTTCATGTTTCTGCTTTCTGCATTCGTGTAGCCCTGGGCTTAACTCTTTTGAATGGTGCTGTGACAACATTGAATTGTTGTGCTTACATTTTTTAGATTTTTAAAGAATCACATAACCATGTATTGTGCATTAAAAAAGTAAAGTGGAGGAAGATTGAAATGTCTTATTTGTCTTTAGGTTGCATTTCTTGTGCCTCTACACAAAAGTATCATTATGAAAGGTTTGTTGGGCTGATGGGTTTTCTATAGTCCAGATGTGGCCAAATTATTTTAACATTTTTGAGACTTGTTACAATGAAAAGTTTGACCGAAGTTTAGATTCATATACATTTAACCGGTGCATTTATTCTTCTTATAGGGATGCATGATTGATTCAAAACTGGCTCATTCTAATTGTGTTCCATGTAAAATGTCAAAATGGCATGCTTTTTGCTCTGATCAGCATCATCAACGACTTATGACTGGAATGGCGTGATTCTGAGGTAACCTTAATGCATTTCACTTTTCATAAATGATTAAGAATTAGAATGGCAAGTCGGAAAAACACTATTAGAGAGTAAATGTTAAAGTGCCTCGTTCTCTAGAACCGCAAAATGTTTAATAATAAATTACATCTCAGCCAAATTATTATCAGTTATAATAATGGCAAAGACCTATTTATTTATTATTTATTAAATTTGAGAAGTTAAACGTAATTCAAATAAGTCCCTTTCGGATATAGATTCTAAATTTCTTTGTATTCGAAATTTTAAATCTGGTGTTATTAATCTAGGATGAAGAACGATGGTGCGTCTCGTCGAAAATAATGTTATCATTTGCTGTAGCGATGCGCGAGTCGGCGATATTATTTATATTCGTACACGCTTATCACGAAGACCAACAGACAAACTCCGAATAACTACAGTTACTGATAATCTAGCTTTATTATTGTTTTACACTAAATGCGAGTATTATTGCAAGGACTCTGAACACTGACCGCCCGACTGATCTACCGCTAAATTGAATTAATCGACACCTCAGTCAGGATTGACTTCCTACGATGCTTGAGTCAGCACATGCGCAGTAGTTCGCCGAAAGTATCGCTGATCGGAGACGGAGCGCCTCGGCAGATCAACGAGCCGATCGACTGCGCGAGACGCGACGAGGTAAGAATGTCAAAATGCTGCAAGTCTTCGATGCGCTGTTTTCGTGCAACGGCAAAAACGCGTTCTTATAAAACGCACACCGCGTCAGAACTTCGATATATCGCTGTAGTAAAAGAGTCGAAAGATCGGCGTGGTTCCGTGCAGCAGAAAGCGTGGGGAGCGTGGAAGCCAAGGGGAGGGTCGACAGTGAAGGGGGGGCTGCTTGAGCTCATTCAGCACAGCGAAATGGACGTTGTAGAGTCGTGCAAAATAAACTTATCGTGTCTTTAAAATCTGCCACAATTAATAAGGGACGTTGTCAATGAAATGCGCGTACAAAACGCGTGATGTTTGATAGTAATGTCGTTAAATCGGACGTGTTTTTGATCGCGTCGGGCGACAGCATTCCTCACTCCAGCGATCTGTAATGGAGGCTGGCGAAAGATCTTTATTACGATCTGTTTATTTTGCTCGCAGGTCATTTTTAGAATGATAGGAAATTGCACAAACTATAACTTTAGTTTTAAGTTAGTAAAGTTAATTTGCGCTGAAAAGTTGCACCGCGCTATTTAATTCCGTTTCAGCGGCGCTTTTTGCGCGATCTATCGGTACTAATAATGACCACGAGAACAAACAAATCAATTTCTATTAGTGTCAAGTAATTAAAAAAAAAAAACATAAATTAAAGCTTCACCGATGTCAATCAAATTGCATTACTAACATTATATAATAATAATAATAATAATAATACAGCATTGTCAATTTTTAGCAAATTCAACAAGGCATCTAAATAAGTATAATGCACAGTGCAAAATATGTTCACTTCTTGGGACATACTAAAATGCGTATTTGAAAAATTGACCATGAAGGACTATTTTATCTCGCACTGCACTTTTTCGTAAACACTGCCAGAGCAACAACACCACAATCCCAACCTTAATGATCATAATCACTGATCTGATGGTCATGTAATCAAAATGCAAACAAACGTTTTTCTTTCTATTGCGGCACATCAAAAGGAAAACGGTTAATGTTGTTTAAAGTATTTTTGTTTTTATAATTCTTTTTAACATTTTATGTTTTTAAGCATGTTCTCTTGAGTGAAACTGAGACCATTTTATAGATCGATTAATAACTAAATGAATTTGCTTTTCAGTTCATTGAGATTTATTCGGGGACACAGTTCTGTATTTTCAATACGATACTACACTCTGAAAAATGCTGGATTGTTTCAACCCAACTTTGGGTCAAATATGGACTAACCCAACTTTTGGGTTAAAAATTGAATGTAAAAATTTAACCCAACGGTTGGGTTAATCCATATTTGACCCAAAGTTGAGTTGAAACAACCCAGCATTTTTCAGAGTGTAGTCAAACTATATTTTGCAACAATGTCTATAGAGAAATGTGTGTTTGCAGACATTAACATCTCATTTAAAATATAGCATTTTGTGAATTGAATGGAGTTTGAATTCATTTTGTGAATTGAATGGAGTTTGATAATTACTGATGAAACATATTGAAACTTAAAACATTTTTTTTTATTTGTTCCACAGTTTAAGAAAATTATCGTACATATAAAGATGAGGAACTTTTCGACTAAAACTTGATAAAAAATTAGTTTGGTACATTTTCGTATTAGTAGTTACTAGAAAAGATAAAGTTGTGTTGATAATGAGCTGCTGTATTTGTTACGTTTTTGGCTATATGAGAGCTCACTAGTTCAAATGGCTAGTTCAGCATTTGAGATTTTAATGTCACTGAATCGATTCGGTGAGTTACTTACTGACTTATCAAGAAATCGTCTAACTCAATCCGTATTATTAACTAAACAAATCACCCTGTGACCCAGATTTAAACTAAAACCCACAGTGAGATTAGATCCATACTGACATGTTGATTACATCTATTTTGTCAGGTTTGTAGTGTTCTTATAATTGTGAAAGTGCTTATTACTTTGGTCAGCCTTTCAGTAGTTTTCTTAAACAGCAGTTGTATTAAAGGGGTCATATGACGCTGCTAAAAAAGAACATTATTTGGTGTATTTGGTGTAATGCAATGTGTTTATGCGGTTTAAGGTAAAAAAAAAACACTTTCTTTTCCACATACTGTACATTATTGTTTCTCCTCTATGCCTCGCCTTTCTGAAACGTGTCGATTTTTACAAAGCTCATCGTTCTGAAAAGCGAGGTGTGTGCTGATTGGCCAGCTATCTAGTGTGTTGTGATTGGCCGAATTCCTCAAGCGGAAATGTTACGGCCCTTGCCATATTGTGATGCCGTGTCCCGGTGCGACGAGACAAAACCAATAAAACCCATTATAAACTAGGAATTTGTTGCATCCAGTGGGCACATAATAACGGATTATAATGACTTATACTGTCTTTTTACGCATTGTGTTGCATCGCGCCGCGTAAACATAAAACCATGTCTGCATTTGTGATCGGAGAAATGACAAACAACAAGCGCCACTCTACACTGTTCTGGAACAGTGTTGTAAATACAACTTAACCACTGATTTCTAGTTGTGTCCTCTTTTGGAAGGACAAACAAAGTAGTTTCTTTTATAGAGAATATTTGGGTTCGAGACTTTCTTATCTATGCACGAACATCTTGTAAAACTTGAAATCACATCATATATGACCCCTTTAAACAGTTGGTCTGGTTGGTTTTATAATTAGGGTTTCGGGAAATGAAGTATTTTCCATTAAACAAACTTTAACAAACGCTGGCTGCTTGCTGCACTGTAGCGCATTTCTTTGCCATAGTAATTGCGCTGCATTGCAGATATCGAATGTTCTCAGCCCATTTGTATCGACTTCCCTGCCATCGCTGCTGGACTCGCTGCAATTCTGTCACCATGGCAACTGCTTGTTTCAGCCGCGTTCTATAAATATTCTCCTTCACGCTAGTCTATCGTGTTTCTGCTGGCTTGAGTCTTTGCGGTGGCCTAATTTAATAGAAGGGTTTTATTCACATCGGTTACGTTGCATTGGGAAAGACTTTCTTAGAAACTATTGCTTAAATGTTTTATTGGTATGCAGATCGTGATACAATTACGTAAAAAAAAATCATATTTCTCTTTGGCAGTTTCTTAAATCATCAGTGACAATGTAAATCTGTATGTGTGTGTGTGATTGGTTTGTAATTCATCTCAATACAAAGTATGTCTATAGAAATCCAGTATGTCTTTAGAAATCCATTAAGCAGCAAAAATTACCATGTTGGCAGGAATAATTAATTATTAATTAAAAAAATAAGTAATTATTTTTGTTCTTCACATCTGCTTTTTCTTTACAGGTATGATTCATAACCAGTAAAGTGATGGATGAAACATTGGATTTTTGACATTTCATGCAACCCAAGCTCTTCATAACTTTTTGAGATGAAATTTATACTTCCAATTTCTATGGACTACAAAGGTATTTTTCCTATTTAAAAAAATGTGAGCTGGCGGTTCAACATCCGAACTCTTCGTTGCATGGCTTAAAACCATTGGTCTCGCAAATCTACTAGTAATACAGAGGCCTCAAGGCCAGAGAACGGGATCAGATATGACGGATGAGCTGAACAGGGCCTCAGCTGAACCGGAGACGACGAAACCGGAAGAGACTGTGCCGATTGAAGCAGACGACGTTACTGACGGTGTGGATAATGCAGTGGGGAACAACATGCCTGGAAAGGTGACGCCTGAATCGCCACCTGATTGGCTGAAGCCAATGGAGGAGGATGAAGATGATGGCGGTGATGACTTATACTGTCTTTTTACGCATTGTGTTGCATCGCGCCGCGTAAACATAAAACCATGTCTGCATTTGTGATCGGAGAAATGACAAACAACAAGCGCCACTCTACACTGTTCTGGAACAGTGTTGTAAATACAACTTAACCACTGATTTCTAGTTGTGTCCTCTTTTGGAAGGACAAACAAAGTAGTTTCTTTTATAGAGAATATTTGGGTTCGAGACTTTCTTATCTATGCACGAACATCTTGTAAAACTTGAAATCACATCATATATGACCCCTTTAAACAGTTGGTCTGGTTGGTTTTATAATTAGGGTTTCGGGAAATGAAGTATTTTCCATTAAACAAACTTTAACAAACGCTGGCTGCTTGCTGCACTGTAGCGCATTTCTTTGCCATAGTAATTGCGCTGCATTGCAGATATCGAATGTTCTCAGCCCATTTGTATCGACTTCCCTGCCATCGCTGCTGGACTCGCTGCAATTCTGTCACCATGGCAACTGCTTGTTTCAGCCGCGTTCTATAAATATTCTCCTTCACGCTAGTCTATCGTGTTTCTGCTGGCTTGAGTCTTTGCGGTGGCCTAATTTAATAGAAGGGTTTTATTCACATCGGTTACGTTGCATTGGGAAAGACTTTCTTAGAAACTATTGCTTAAATGTTTTATTGGTATGCAGATCGTGATAGAATTACGTAAAAAAAAATCATATTTCTCTTTGGCAGTTTCTTAAATCATCAGTGACAATGTAAATCTGTATGTGTGTGTGTGATTGGTTTGTAATTCATCTCAATACAAAGTATGTCTATAGAAATCCAGTATGTCTTTAGAAATCCATTAAGCAGCAAAAATTACCATGTTGGCAGGAATAATTAATTATTAATTAAAAAAATAAGTAATTATTTTTGTTCTTCACATCTGCTTTTTCTTTACAGGTATGATTCATAACCAGTAAAGTGATGGATGAAACATTGGATTTTTGACATTTCATGCAACCCAAGCTCTTCATAACTTTTTGAGATGAAATTTATACTTCCAATTTCTATGGACTACAAAGGTATTTTTCCTATTTAAAAAAATGTGAGCTGGCGGTTCAACATCCGAACTCTTCGTTGCATGGCTTAAAACCATTGGTCTCGCAAATCTACTAGTAATACAGAGGCCTCAAGGCCAGAGAACGGGATCAGATATGACGGATGAGCTGAACAGGGCCTCAGCTGAACCGGAGACGACGAAACCGGAAGAGACTGTGCCGATTGAAGCAGACGACGTTACTGACGGTGTGGATAATGCAGTGGGGAACAACATGCCTGGAAAGGTGACGCCTGAATCGCCACCTGATTGGCTGAAGCCAATGGAGGAGGATGAAGATGATGGCGGTGAGGGTGTCAAGAGCAGTGAACGGATCATTATGAAGACCAATGATGACGTGTATGTGCTTATACCTCATTTTTGTTTACATTTAGTGTGCTGTTTTATAGTTTGTGTTAGAGGTGCAACAATATATCATGTCACAATATGTCACAGTACAACAATGCAACTGTATTGTATATAGGGCTGGGCGATATGGCCAAATAATTATCACGATAAAATTTTTCATATCAGTTGATATCAATAATTATCATGATACATGTTAAATTATTTATTTTCAAGTTTAAAGGCAGATTTCTTCTCCTGAGTGAAAGGTGTAGAAACCAGACTTGATTTAATTGTGGTTTCAAATTACTTCTTTTTTTTTTTTTTTTTTGTCCGAACATGACAAACACTTTTCAAATAAGTGATCATTTCACAAATATGAGGTGCAACATTCAAAACATTTATAATAATATTTATTTTCTACATCGATATATGCATGAGTAAGTAAATCAGCCTGGTTTCATTAACAAAATATCTTAATAGAGAAATTAATTTCTTGGTTTCTGCATGTTCTAGTGGGTGATATTGTTTCAAATCACGAAACAGGTTTATGTCCCCTGACTTCGATGGCACGAAGCAGATGTAAATTTGTGTTCATTAACAAAAACGGTAACATCTATAAAAATTGTAACAACCTATAGGGTAAAATTTAGAGGTAAAATGTAAATATTCTAACTCTATCAAATGAGTAAGAACTCTAATTTTATCAAAATTAACCATTGGTCATCTACAGTATCATACAATTAGATCATGCTAAACAAAAGTAAAAACACACATAGCACCTCATTACCATGGTCAAATGTAACTGCATATATGGTTTTTATGATATTTGTATGAAAAACAGTAGCCTAAATACATTTAGTATAAATTTTTAAAAAATGCTATAGACTGTAGAGTCTGCGCTGTATTGATCGTGAAGTGGAGCCACGGTATCAAAGTCTCGGCCAAACTCCTGCCGACCCAATCGCAAGCTCACAATCATGACACCACACCCCATTTTTATAGCATCAAATAACTAACTAAAAGCAAATTTATAAAAAAAACGAACACTTGAATATACATCAGTGTTATAAGAACTACCTAAAATGATGAAAACCATCTTTGGAAAAAATTATTTGAAGTGTAATTTGATTATTTAGTTGGTCTCAAGGTCCAGCCACCTGGGGGCGATCAGAACATTATATTGAGCATGTGTTATCATTCTATCGAGGGAAAATATATTGTGATAATTATCGCTATTTTATCACCCAGCCCTAAACATAGTCAGAGTTTAGGCATTAAATTTAGAATCAAAAATATGATGTGGCAAATAAAATATTGTTGCTTTCATGTTTATTATTTATAAGTTAAAAAATAAAATATTTAGTAAAATATAATATTTAAATGATTAAATATATGAATAATAATTACATTTTCTTTTGTAAAGATTTGTACAGGGAAGATTTTCTTGCTTCCATTTGAAGCTCCTCAAATCGTGCTGTAGAATATGATTATGAAGTTTTGTTCATGTCATCTTCAGCACTGCTTTCGTTAAACCAAAAAGAAGACAGTCCAAATATGAAGAGATTCAGAAATGCATTTCTGCCATGACAACTCTCGGGAGAGTTTAGCATGGTAATATACATGGCAGTGTCAACCTGTTTGGTCTTGGCGGAATAGATCTGCTACACTGCTGCTGTTGCAGAGAAAGTACCGAGACTTGCTCCTGCCAGTACATCCATGACATGCTGCTGTGAGCATGTAAGAAATACTGCTGCTGCACATATAACATATATGAGAAGACCCCATATAAAACATACATAAAGCACCCCGTATCAGATCTATACAGGTGGAGCTGGGGAAGGTGAAGGGTTTCTGAAGCATGCTGCCACTGCTACAGCGAGCACTAGCAGAGTATTTGAATGTTTGAGCAGCAAGCTCATTGGCTGCTTGCACAAAAAGAACCAATCAGCTACGCCACGTGAATAGTGATGTCATTGTCAGATTGAGTTAGAACCTATCGGCCTGCGCCATCTAGAGTTTCATGACAGAACTTTGTATTTACATTTTTTAGTTGACTTTTCACTCAAACTGTTGTGCTGAATATTTGCAATTAAATGTTTTATCAAATAAAAAAATGCTAAATATAAGCATTTTCACTAGTGGTCTCACACTTTTGGACCCTTTTAAAAATATATATATTTAAATCCATTTGAAAATAAATCACATTTGATAATTATATCACACCTGTTGATCATGTTCAGTTGATAAACTGACTTTCGTACTTTTCATATTCTCACAGTCCAAAAGTAAAGCGACGCAGAGGTCGGCCTCCGATTGCCAGAAATGTTAGACATGGACTTACTCGTTTAGATTTCAAGAAAGGATTGCATGCAGATCGCCCTAAAACTAAGGTTTGTGTAGCTATCTGTCTTGATTTGGGTTTTGTTTGCATTGTTAGAGAGAATATTATGTATGCACAATGGGTCAAAAGTTTGGAATGAAAAATATTTTTTTTGAATGATTCTTAAAGAAGACTCTCATGCTTACCAAGACTGCATTTATTTGATCAAAAATACAGTAAAAACTGTAATATTGTGAAATATTTTTTCAGTTTAAAATAACTCATTTCTGTTGCAATATAATTTAAAATGTAATTATTTCCTGTGATGCAAAGCTGAATTTTATTTACTCCAGTCTTGATCCTTCAGAATTAATTCTAATATGCTTTGATTTGCTGCTGAGTTATTAAATCTCAGTTATTACTTTTAATGTATTTTTAATGTTTGTATATTTATAGGATGTTTTTGTGATTTTTATTATTTAATATAAAATCAACATTTTTGTTTAAACGCTTTAATTAGTTGTGCTTGCTAAGATTGCTACTTTTCTAAATAACCAGGAATAAAATTTCCAGAATTTTAGGAGTAAATTAATTTTATCTTCTTCAATCTTTTAATTGAATCATATATGATATTATTACAATATTTTTGAAACCCTTTCTTCTTTTCTATGTGGTCGTTTGGGATATGTAGACTGTTCGTTCTCTACGGGAAAGAACGCGTTCAAGTCCCACATCGGGAACGGCCATTCCTGTCCCAGATCCACCTCGCACGGCTGAGGTTTTACCCAGAAAACCCCAGCGTATCATTCACAAACCTATCGGCCTGCGCCATCTAGAGTTTCATGACAGAACTTTGTATTTACATTTTTTAGTTGACTTTTCACTCAAACTGTTGTGCTGAATATTTGCAATTAAATGTTTTATCAAATAAAAAAATGCTAAATATAAGCATTTTCACTAGTGGTCTCACACTTTTGGACCCTTTTAAAAATATATATATTTAAATCCATTTGAAAATAAATCACATTTGATAATTATATCACACCTGTTGATCATGTTCAGTTGATAAACTGACTTTCGTACTTTTCATATTCTCACAGTCCAAAAGTAAAGCGACGCAGAGGTCGGCCTCCGATTGCCAGAAATGTTAGACATGGACTTACTCGTTTAGATTTCAAGAAAGGATTGCATGCAGATCGCCCTAAAACTAAGGTTTGTGTAGCTATCTGTCTTGATTTGGGTTTTGTTTGCATTGTTAGAGAGAATATTATGTATGCACAATGGGTCAAAAGTTTGGAATGAAAAATATTTTTTTTGAATGATTCTTAAAGAAGACTCTCATGCTTACCAAGACTGCATTTATTTGATCAAAAATACAGATAAAAACAGTAATATTGTGAAATAGTTTCTGTTGTAATTATTTCCTGAGATGCAAAGCTGAATTTTTTTTCTGTATTACTCCAGTTTTGATGCTTCAGAATTCATTCTTATATGCTTTGATTTGCTGCTCAATTGTTATATGTAAAGTCTTTCTGTTTATAGGATTTTGTCTAGTGGTCTCACACTTTTTGGCCCTTTTAAAAAAATATAAAAATTAAATCCATTTGAAAATAAATCACATTTGATAATTATATCACACCTGTTGATCATGTTCAGTTGATAAACTGACTTTCGTACTTTTCATATTCTCACAGTCCAAAAGTAAAGCGACGCAGAGGTCGGCCTCCGATTGCCAGAAATGTTAGACATGGACTTACTCGTTTAGATTTCAAGAAAGGATTGCATGCAGATCGCCCTAAAACTAAGGTTTGTGTAGCAATCTGTCTTGATTTAGAGTTTATTTGCACTGTAGAGTGAATAATGTGTATGCACTATGGATGCATTTATTTGATCAAAAATACAGTAAAAACTGTAATATTGTGAAATATTTTTTCAGTTTAAAATAACTCATTTCTGTTGCAATATAATTTAAAATGTAATTATTTCCTGTGATGCAAAGCTGAATTTTATTTACTCCAGTCTTGATCCTTCAGAATTAATTCTAATATGCTTTGATTTGCTGCTGAGTTATTAAATCTCAGTTATTACTTTTAATGTATTTTTAATGTTTGTATATTTATAGGATGTTTTTGTGATTTTTATTATTTAATATAAAATCAACATTTTTGTTTAAACGCTTTAATTAGTTGTGCTTGCTAAGATTGCTACTTTTCTAAATAACCAGGAATAAAATTTCCAGAATTTTAGGAGTAAATTAATTTTATCTTCTTCAATCTTTTAATTGAATCATATATGATATTATTACAATATTTTTGAAACCCTTTCTTCTTTTCTATGTGGTCGTTTGGGATATGTAGACTGTTCGTTCTCTACGGGAAAGAACGCGTTCAAGTCCCACATCGGGAACGGCCATTCCTGTCCCAGATCCACCTCGCACGGCTGAGGTTTTACCCAGAAAACCCCAGCGTATCATTCACAACTCGACATCAACATCTCAAAGACCCCGACTCATCCCCGTCTCACCTGCAGGGGGCAGCAGCCTCTCCAAGACCCCCAACGCCGAATTTCACAGCCCTCCGCGCCTCACAAGGGTCTCGCCGCTCAGTATCGACACATCGGTGACACGGAATTTCGTTCACTCTCCAGCTGTAAAAGTGGGTAATGTTTCCCAACAGATTGTTTCCTCAACTGAACCTGGGAAAGATGGGACTGAACCTCCCCTTCGACTCTGGCTTTGTCCTTCTCTGGAGCCCATTAGCGCTACAAAAACTCAGGATACGTTCTCAGATCAGATTGTAAATTCACCAAATTTTCCGGAGACTACACTTAATGGAACAGTGACCCAAAAGGAAAGTCTTTCTCTGCTCAGGTGAACAAATCGGACTCATTTCATACCACCTAGAAAGTCTATTTTGTATGCTCTACTTTTAACTAGGACGTTCACAAATGTTTTAACATTGCATCCAGTTCAGGGTTTCTGCAGGTTTTAAAGGGGTCCTATTATGCTCTTTTACAAAGTCTTGATTTTGTTTTGGTGGTGTACTAGAACATGCTCTCATGCTTGGTGGTGGTTCGAAAAATGCACTATTTTTCACATAATTTACATTATTATAATACCTTTCTCCCCAGGCTGGCACAAACGGCTCGATTAGTTCCCCTTTGATAAAGGCCCGCCTTCCGAAAAATGAAATGTGTAGTGATTGGTTAGCTGTCCCAGTGCGTTGTGATTGGCGAACAGTTTAGACTGTGTTTCAGTACTGCCCCACCCCTTGCCAAAACCGGTATAGTTAAGGATGGCGTCAATATTGCCATATCAATTTGAGCCGGATTCACACCCAGAGAATATTGAACAAGAGGATCGCGGAGAACCTTTGCATGCATGGATATTGCAAGACATATTAGAGTGGTAACGGTATTGTTTTTAGTTTTTTTTTGGCTAAATCACATTTTAGATAGGATGTCAACTACTGCTAAAAAATAACTGCATTTACTATGTACAGATAAGTGCAATGGTAATATGTATTATGTTTATTGTTTTTTAATTCTAACATTCTATCATGAATTGCAGTGAAACTGTTATACGGTTGAATTTATTGAAGTGTAAATTCTGCAGATTACGTCATTGTCCAGTATTGTATTGTCAGCAATTTATAAAAACGTTTTCATAATTCTAACATACATATTTACATGCATAATTATTCAGGTGCATGTGTAATAGCTTGCGAAAACTTGACGCTACAGCAGCACTTCTTCATCGTCGTCATCTTGCTTCCCATAGGCGGGAATTATTTTAATGATATTCTAATTGGCCGCTTTGTGACATCACAAAACAACGCTGTAGTCCAAACGAGCCGTTCGTTGTAGTTCTTGAAAAGGGATTTGTTTAAAAAACAAAATATCTCCCTTTGGAGTGAACTTTGAGATTTGTAACTTTCTAGATCTTTTTTTATGCCCAAACATACACACTATCTCAACTGGCTAAAATTCTAAAAGTGAAAAAGCATAATAGGACCCCTTTAAAAAGTCGCCCTTCCACAAATTAAATCAGAAAGTCTGCAAAGCATGCGTTGCAAAAAATTAATATCTAAACATCCTTAAATCAAGATACATTTACTAGGGATGCAAAATGAAATCGTCGTCGTCTTGGTTCCCATAGGCGGGAATTATTTTAATGATATTCTAATTGGCCGCTTTGTGACATCACAAAACAACGCTGTAGTCCAAACGAGCCGTTCGTTGTAGTTCTTGAAAAGGGATTTGTTTAAAAAACAAAATATCTCCCTTTGGAGTGAACTTTGAGATTTGTAACTTTCTAGATCTTTTTTTATGCCCAAACATACACACTATCTCAACTGGCTAAAATTCTAAAAGTGAAAAAGCATAATAGGACCCCTTTAAAAAGTCGCCCTTCCACAAATTAAATCAGAAAGTCTGCAAAGCATGCGTTGCAAAAAATTAATATCTAAACATCCTTAAATCAAGATACATTTACTAGGGATGCAAAATGAAGAAAATTAATTCTTGTTTTCTGAGAAACAAAATCAACAAAACTTGCTTTCCCCTTTAATTAAGTTGAGTTTTTCTGAGCACATTGGCAGGTAATTGTTCTTGTTTTAATCTTAAACTCACTTCACTTTGATCAGTTTCACAGAAAACTTCAGACATTTACACTGGAAAACAAGACAAAAAATCTGTTTTTTGGTTTTGTTTTTTGCAGTTTGATCAGATGGTACACTTAAATATCCATATTCTACTGGTTAATAAGAAATTGTTTTTGTAATTATTAAGTAATGAACAGTGTTGGGGGAAGTTACTTTTAAAAGTAATGCATTACAATACTGCGTTACTCCATAAAAAAGTAACTAATTGCATTACTTAGTTACTTTTTATGGAAAATAATGCATTACGTTACTTTTGCATTCCTGGGCAGGGCTTGCTTATTTATTTTTAATAACAAAAACCCCAAAAGTTCTATATTTTGCAACGGTAAAAGCCCTTTCACACCAGAAGGGAAATGAATAAGTCTCAGGCTGAAGAACCTTGTGCCTCTGGTCTTCACCTCACTACCAATTTATCTCAACACAGGACAGGAGAGGTTTCAGTGAATAAAAGGGAACACAAAGTAACTGAAAAAAGCAATCTGATTACTTAACTGGTGTTACTTGTAATGCGTTACCCCCAACACTGGTAATATGTTTAAAGTAGCGTTTTACAAACTCTGAAGTGTTGCTAATGCAACTCATTTTGTGCTCCCTAGATATTTACATTTAGAGAACTTATTGACTAACAATACGTGCTCCCTTCAAGTTATGCTTTACATTTTTTTTTACTTAGTCTTAAAAAGTCCTTAAAATTACCTTCATAAAATCTGAGTTGTTTGTCTTTCTTCAGTGAATGTGAAAGCTGTGGCTGCCAATTTCCTGCTCAGAAGATCGGAGACATAATGTGCTACAGATGTAGGCCTAAATGTATGTGAATTTGTAATTACACTCTTCATTTCAGCCAGCAGCAGAGGATAAGTATGATATTTGTGTGATTTGTATTGTCTTAATTTCTTTATTTCTCATTTCTGCAGCAGACAAGAAGCACTCTCCTCCAAATATTGTGTTTAGGAAGGTATGTACCATTCTTGAGACTGGGATAAAACAAAACGTTTATGTGGCAGAAATGGTTTTGGATTAGATTAAGTTATTTATGTATGTTGTGGTCCTGCTTCTTCTATTTTAAATGTGTTTTTCCATCTCTGAATCTCACCGGCAGATAAAACAATGTGTTCTGTCATGTCCAAAATGTATCATATATATTGACACTCAACTTTGATAAATGAATCCATTGAAAATATAGGACCGTTTCAAACTGATTTTCAGGTCCGGCTGTTGGAGAAACATACATTTTTTTTTTTACTTAGTCTTAAAAAGTCCTTAAAATTACCTTCATAAAATCTGAGTTGTTTGTCTTTCTTCAGTGAATGTGAAAGCTGTGGCTGCCAATTTCCTGCTCAGAAGATCGGAGACATAATGTGCTACAGATGTAGGCCTAAATGTATGTGAATTTGTAATTACACTCTTCATTTCAGCCAGCAGCAGAGGATAAGTATGATATTTGTGTGATTTGTATTGTCTTAATTTCTTTATTTCTCATTTCTGCAGCAGACAAGAAGCACTCTCCTCCAAATATTGTGTTTAGGAAGGTATGTACCATTCTTGAGACTGGGATAAAACAAAACGTTTATGTGGCAGAAATGGTTTTGGATTAGATTAAGTTATTTATGTATGTTGTGGTCCTGCTTCTTCTATTTTAAATGTGTTTTTCCATCTCTGAATCTCACCGGCAGATAAAACAATGTGTTCTGTCATGTCCAAAATGTATCATATATATTGACACTCAACTTTGATAAATGAATCCATTGAAAATATAGGACCGTTTCAAACTGATTTTCAGGTCCGGCTGTTGGAGAAACACAACATCTGACACCTTGTGTTGGCAGATGACAGTGTTAACAAAATCTTTTTTTTGTTGTATCATACATCAAGTTAGTTCTGGCAGGTCACGTTAGTCAAGCTCGCATCAGCTGACCTTCAGCTGATCCCCATCTACCTATGGGAATATGACACCTATCTAAGCATTCATATATAAGGTCCCTCAGTATTATCAGCAGTTTTCGCATTGCTCAATAGCTAATTACCCTCCTCCATCCCCAGCTCCTCCTCTGTCAGTCAGGATTCAGCCTTCTGATTCTCCTTTGAATCAGACTAATTCTAAAATGTGTACATAAAATTATTGAACTTTACCAATATCTGCCATACATTTATGTTGGTTCTGTTCTGTTTACCCTGGGGGGGTTATCGCTGCTCTCCCTGCTCTCATTCATGCTAGGCTGCATGGATGCGCAGGGAGTTCTTGCCCAGAACAGAAACATACCGCCAATCCAAACTGTATGCTAATTGTCAATCATCTTTGACGATAATGGTCCTGACAGAAATGTATTCAATGCAGCAGGTTTTTTTTTTTTTTGCTACCTAGTGCCAGGACATAGTAGTAATGTTTCTTTAAATATCCAAAAGTTGTTTTTGAGTTTACTGTAGTTTATATTTAATTTAAGTTTAATATATTTTATATGATATATTAGTAATATTATTATTATTATTAGTTATATTATATTAAGTTATGTAATAATATTTAAATAGTCATATTTTATAGTTTAATAAAAATAAAACATTTTATGTATTTAGCATATTTGTATAATTTTTTATATATTTTCTATATAAAGTATTGAGTTGTGTTCTGAAGTTTTTTTTTGTTTTTTTTTAGTGAGGAGTAGTGAGGAATATAGTTGCTAACAGAACAAAATATAAATAAAAAAATATATAAAATTAGTGCATTTTTTAAAGAATATTCTAGTGATCATCTCTGATTCATTTCAAATTGGAAATGTCATTGTTTTCAAAACTAGAGGCAGGTCATATTTTGAGACATGATTTTTCCCATCATGTTTTCTTTCTTTTTTTAATGCAAGACTGCACATGGAAGGTTAAAAAAGCTTTTTTTATTAAATTGTACTTGCCATAAAGTCCATGCATGGCCTTTCTTCCTCATCTGTGCTGTGTTGTTGTTGATATTGTGAAGTGGAAGTGAGGCAGTGTTGCTGCGTCCGTGTTCATGTCAGCTCTTTGAGAGGTATAAGACTTTGGCGATACTTTTGCGTTTTAACATCTGAACTAACACAACCTAATTTCCATTTTTTTCTGCTCTTAATATATGAGCCAAAACTGTTGTTTGTTTTCCGTAAATTGCTGAAGTCCAGATTATCCTTGATTTCTCTGCTAGCTTCTTTTATTCTCTTTTCTAGTAACTTACTTTCCCTTTATTTCCGATTCTGTTGAATCTAAGAGCTTAGTTACCATATTTCCTTTGCTTAATTTTTATTATGCTTTTGTATTTTTTGTATTTTTATTATTATTTTCAAGGTGGGGCAGGATCAGTGGGAGGTTGGGAAAACAAAACATCCAAGAAAACAAATGCTGGTAATAATAATCACATAACGTCATATAGACACATTCGTTGCATTTTTGGGTTGAAACGTGAAACTGCAGCATACACAAAAGCATTGCTGAAGATCATCAAAAAAATCATATAGCTGAACTACTTCACACCTAAACATAATGTCACTCTGTCTCCTGCAGAAACAACATCCCAAATACAAGAAAATGGTAAAAATGGTGAGTGTACATGCTTAATGGAGCTAAATCTTTATATATTTTTTTTACATATATTGCATACTTCAAGCCTTTAAAATGTAAATGGGTTCAGTTGTATGGTTACTCATTCATGAGTCTGGCTGATTCATGTGCTGCTTCTAGTGCAGAAATCGCAATATATTCGGGAAAAGTACTATGCTTAAACTACTCATCCAGGTTTTTATTGTGTGTGTTATTTAGGATTTTGTCCCTGATGGTGATGATGATGATGATGATGATGATGATGACTCGGTGAGTGATTCAGCAGCACATTCTCAACCCAACAGACATTAATCTGTTTTGGTGTTTTAAAAATTTTTTTAATTGATTTATTTTTTTTGAGTCTGCTAATGGTTGTGGCATGGGATGTTTTTAACACTATAAAGCCTTCTGTATCATATTTGATACCTCTAAATTATCACCATGATCAAAACATTGCTGGAAAACCTGTTGTAGACAATCTTCTACGTGCCTTCTGACCCCTGATTGATAGACATGATCCACCTTCATGTGTTCTTCGCAGATTTTTATAATTTTATAGACTAGATGTAAGAATAACTTCAGATTGTTAGTAATATTTCAAGATGAACACTTACTGGACTCAAGCAACTTGGGTACATGCATAATTTTTTAGATGTTAAATTGTGAGTATCGAATATTACACATAAGGATTTTGAGGAATGTTTATTTGTTCATCATTGTATTTCATTGCATTATATGTTTTGCTTTCCACAATAAAAACTACAGAACTTATGGCCATAAATGTACAGTAAGCATTTTAATGTCATCTTACTATGAAATATTATTGGGAGATATAGAGCAGCAGCTAATATTTGTATGCATTTTCTGTAAGTAGTCTGCTATACTGTTATATTTACATTCCAAGCATAATTTCATCTTACTGTTTATTAACTGCACCAAATTGCATATTTCTGCTCTCTGAGCTCCATATTCCCCTTCATAACAATATATAAGCTATAAAAGCCTGATGTGTCATGGTAATCAACAAAAATACATATGCAGACTCAAAATTTTGTCTATAAAGTGTCAATAAACTGTTTCATTTCATTGTCAAACTATTATTTCATCTGTCAGGCTTTACATGTTTTGAACATATTACGAATTGGACATGGAATATTCTTTTCCTGGTTATTGCTGGGCTCATAAAACCACTTTAGTTATGTTTTTATGCCCTTTATTAACGGAAGAGCACAATTTCTCTGTCTACTCTTGATTTCAGGTTGCGAAGAAACGCAATCGCAGGATGTGCCGGCAGTGTGTTGCGTGTCTTCGTGAAGACGACTGTGGCAAATGCGACTTCTGCATGGACAAGCCCAAGTTTGGTGGCAGTAACAAGAAAAAGCAGAAATGCCGCTTACGTCAGTGCAAGTTTCAGTCAAGGCTTCATGGTCAAAGAGCAAATGTACGTATTTATCTGATTAGCATCTAATGGCATCACTCAAGAGTAAGGTTACCACCTGACCACATGCCAAATGCACATATGCAAGATGAGTTTTGCCAGATGTTTCTTGTTTTATCGGATCATGCAGGGAATGCTACTTCCATTCCTTCCACAGAGAAGGAGAAATGTGAAGCCCAAGCTCAAGAGACGCGGGAGACCGCCGAGAAAACGGAAATTCAGAAGCAACCCCTGGGAGGATGATGAGGAAGTTTCTGATGATGATGATGATGATGACAAAGAAGATTTGAGGCATTATAAGATGAATGGCGGGAAAGGAGGAAGGAGGAAATGGAATTACAGTTTTAAGGAAGATGAGGAAGACATGTTCATTGAGGCTGTGATTGAGGATGACGGACCGTCCAACACAGAGGAGGTTTCTGATTTCTAAATGTTGCAATCAAAGATTTCAATGTTTCACAACCAGTCACTAAAACACTGTGTAGTTTTATGCTGCTTTCACACCAAGACATTTCAGTCACCATCAAGCATGTAATTCTATTCAGAAATATCATATAATTAGGTTATTAGATATTTTCATGATTGTATTTAATGTTGTATTTGTTTACTATTTTTATAGGATCCTGATATTTTGGGCAGTGAGAGGTCAGCGATGGTGTCTAATGAGATGTACTCAAACACGTCTGGACTCAGTACTCAGGTAAGACTTCTACAGCGTTTCCAGCCTTGGTTCTGAAATTAGTTTCCTAATTCATAGGCATTAAAAAATATAAAATAAAGAGTTCTAAGTCTTGAAATAAACAAATTAGCTCTGAGATCAATTGTAACTCTTTTATTTAAAGACATTTTTTTTAAAAGAAGGTACAATGAGTACTTATATTTACATTTTATGCATTTGGCAGATGCTTTTTATCCAAAGGGTCATACATTGCATTCAAAGTATTAGGACTGCACTATTTGGGGAAAGAAATGGTTGTGACATTTCTAATTAAACATTTCAGTTGTGATAAAAAAAAATTTTTTAAACATTAAAAATCCAGGTTTGCTGTGCTTGTTTGTAGGGCTGCATAGTTTGGCCAAAATTGTTGTTGTTATTATTATTATTAAACATTACTAAATAAAACCAAATAAGAAATATTACTATTATAAAAACAAGCATTTAAGAAAAGTATAATATATATATATATATATATATATATTTTACATTACAGCTATAAAATTACAGTACTACTATTAATGGTTGTGTTAATATGTATAATTTCAAACATTAAACCATCAAAATTAGATTTTGACGAAGAACAGCAGGGAGCCGTTAAAACGGTAATACTTAATATGGTTCATTAGTTAATGTTAATTAGGGATGCACCGATACCACTTTTTCCTGTACTCGCCCGATACCGATACTTTTATTTTTGGTACTTGCCGATACCGAGTATCGATACCGATATTTTTATTGCATTTGTAAATTTTTTTAATATTGGGTACAGAAACCAAAAGGGTATGTATAATGTTAGTTGGTTAACTTCGTTTATCAAATAGATACAGTTAAACCAAAATTTATTCAGACACCTTCAACATTTCTCACATTATAACAGTTTATTCGCTATAGTTTAGAAAATGATAATAAAATATGACAAGAACTCAGAGTTAAACAGAGTCAGAACAAATTCATCTTGATAATGTTAGATAACTTTGATAGAAAGGTATGTAATAGATTACAATCAACCAAAATAATTCAGACAGCTGTTAGTATGACAGTATTTACACAACTATCAATACTTTGTCCGGCAACCTTTAGCCTCAATGACAGCCTGTAGTCTCCTGGGCATGCTGTTAGTTTCACTTTCACCAGAAAGTGGTGTATGCCTAAGGTTAAAAATAAATGATGTTTATAGTGAATGCCCCTATAAATGGTTTTATATTTACGATTTCGTTTGAATCCAAATGATGGGTGTGCTAAGTGCATGAACATCAAAGATCACACAACAGAATTGCGCGCGCTCTCGCTGGCTCTCTCTCTCTCTGGCTCCCTACCGTTAAGTAACTTGTGCATTGTTTTACTTACTTGTTTTTGACATATCCGACCGAGCTACAAACTTTCCAGTGATGTCTGTGAGAAAGATATATTCACTCGACAAGCTCGCGCATCTGCGCCGCCGCGCGTTCAATCCACTCAGCGTGCTTTGTTTATCAGCTCGCGCACACCAGCTATACAGGCGTTAATACTGAATGTTTAACATTATATTCGTTGCATACATATACTTCGTAGTAGACATCCTTAACTCCTTTCTGCTGTCTGTTGTTCTGTTTGTTGGTGTTTCTTTGTCTGAATATGGCGCTTAACACATGCTGTGCGGTATCGGCGTTTGGTATCGGGGCATTTTAACGAGTACGAGTACAGGAGACCAGTATCGGGCCCGATACCGATACCAGTATCGGTATCGGTGCATCCCTAATGTTAATGAATACAGTATTTATTAATCTTTGTTCATGTTTATTAGTAAAAGTACAGTTGTTCATTGTTAGTTCATGTTAGCTCAGGTCCATTCCTTAATATTTACAGAAAAAAAACCATTGGATTTTAATAATGTATTAGTCAATTTTGCAATTAATATGAACTGAAATTAATAACTGCTTTATGAGTATTTCATTGTAAGTTCATGTTAATTAATGTAGTTAACTAATGTTAACAAATGAAGCCTTATTATAAAGTGTTACCATTAAAGCTTTTCTTTTATTGATCAGCGCTTCTCATTACAAGAATTGCAAGTAGAAATTTGAAGTATTTATGCTCTAGTGATTAAGCATCTAATAATTAACATTATTTAGTTATGTACCAAACATTACTGTAGTTGCCTGCAAAAATTTCTGACTGGTGAATTTTGCATCAGGATTGTTGGTAGTTCACCAGGAGTTTGGTAAAAAAAAAAAAAAGTTTTGGAATCTGCAACGTCTAGTTATGTATGTTTCGTAGTTGCCTGCAAAAATTTCTGACTGGTGAATTTTGCATCAGGATTGTTGGTAGTTCACCAGGAGTTTGGTAAAAAAAAAAAAAGTTTTGGAATCTGCAACGTCTAGTTATGTATGTTTTGTGTTGGTGGCAACTGAACGCTGGTGTTTGTTTGAATGTCTGCATGTTTCACAGGGATTATACTACAACATGTCAGGCGTGCCGGCGGCTCCTTATGTGCTTGGATCAGTGCCTCTGTGTAACAGCAATCCAGTGCCGATGGGTGAGGTTATCAGCTCTCTGCCGATGGGGGATGATGTGCCTCAGAACGGTTTTCTTCAGTTTGAGATGGTGAGAGTGGGATCACCACCGTCACATTACACAGAAGAAGCTCAGAACACAGAACAGCACGTGTCAGAACCTCAGCAGGAGCCCACGCCGGTGGTGAGTCTGTCTTCACTGCTACCCAATACAGCACTATTCAAAAGTTTGAATGTTTTCAAAAGACGTCTCTTCTGCTCATCAAGGCTGCATTTATTTGATCAAAAATACAGTAAAATTATAATATAGTGAAATGTTATTACAATTTAAAGCAAGTCTTTTCTATTTGAATATATTTTGAAATGTAATTTGTTCATGAGGTGCGAAGCTGAATTTTCAGCATCATTACTCCAGTCTTCAGTGTCACATGATCCTTCAGAAATCATTCTAATATGCTGATTTACTGCTCAAGAAACATTTATTATTATCAGTGCTGAATAGAGGTGTGCTGCTTTATATTTGTGTGGAAACCATGATACGATTCTTTGATGAATAGAAAGTTCAAAAGAACAGCATTTATTTGAAATAGAAATCTTTTGTAACATTATAAAAGTCTTTACTGTCGGTTTTAATCAGTTTCATGCCTACTTGCCTACTTTACAAATTTTTTAAATTCCTATAATTTTAATTAATTCATTATTTTTTAGACCTTTATTTAATTTGAATTCATTTTAATTACATTTTATAACTTTAATTTCTATATATATATTTTTTTAAATCTTACTGACTCCAATTGTTTAACAGTATAGTATATATAATATTTTTTATTTAATTTATATAATTTTTTTTTTTTATATATAATTTTTTTTTTCTTTCTTTGCATATACAGCCTTTTATTTTCAGACAAACGTGAACATGATTATATAACAAAATATTAAAGTGACATTTATTTCAAAGAAAGCTAGCACAAGCACGCCTTCAAGCAAACCATTTCACAAAAAGGAGGTTTTATTGATTATTTGTCAATTTATTAAAAGGACTAAGCATTTTTGTCACAAGCGTTAATGGATCATGTTGATAGTTAAAGTGATTTTTCTACACCTGTGGTTATTCTTCTAGGATACTTTTGTGAACTTGAGCAGAACTGACCTTATTTGTGACCCTGGAGCACAAAACCAGTCTTAAGTCGCTGGGGTATATTTGTAGCAATAGCCAAAAATACATTGTATGGGTCAAAATTATTGATTTTTCTTTTATGCCAAAAATCATTAGGATATTAAGTAAAGATCATGTTCCATAAAGATATTTTGTAAATTTCCTACTGTAATTAAAAGTTCATTTTTGATTAGTAATATGCATTGCTAAGAACATGATTTGGACAACTTTAAAAGCGATTTTCTCAATATTTAGATTTTTTTTCACACTCAGATTTCAGATTTTCAAATAGTTGTATCTCGGCCAAATATTGTCCTGTCCCAATAAACCATACATCAATAAAAGCTTATTTATTCAGCTTTCAGATGATGTATAAATATCAATTTCGAAAAATTGACCCTTATATGACAGGTTTTGTGGTCCAGGGTCACATATATACACTAAAAATCACCATAACATCAATTAATTAAAAGTCAAAATGGCTAAAACAGTGAAGTTAGTTCTTATTTTGTTTCTAGATACCACTTGGTTGATGACTTTTATTATTGTGTACAATGTCTGATCAAATTCAGACATGTTTAAGCGTCAATCTTTACAGCCATGTCCTCTAACCCCTATTTTGAAACCTTAAAAATGTGATGATTGTTGATTTCAAATACTTTCAGCACAGTCAGAGATTTCCACAGCTATCAACCATGTCAGACCATGCAAATGTCACATCTGCTTTCATAGATCACTCAGATCTTCAGTCTGGTGGGAGGAGAGAACGACTGTGACCGAGACCAAGGCCTGATGGAGCTGTTCACTTCCCTAGGCCAGACCGTGCTGCCCGCTCACTGGGTGGGCATCATGGCCAAAGGCCCCCCCCTCCAGCTCCTGCAGTGCTCCAAACTCTCCACCATGGCTGACACGGTGGTCCAGATCGAGAAGGGCTTCTTCTACCAGGTCAGTGCTTCAAAATGTGATGATTGTTGATTTCAAATACTTTCAGCACAGTCAGAGATTTCCACAGCTATCAACCATGTCAGACCATGCAAATGTCACATCTGCTTTCATAGATCACCCAGATCTTCAGTCTGGTGGGAGGAGAGAACGACTGTGACCGAGACCAAGGCCTGATGGAGCTGTTCACTTCCCTAGGCCAGACCGTGCTGCCCGCTCACTGGGTGGGCATCATGGCCAAAGGCCCCCCCCTCCAGCTCCTGCAGTGCTCCAAACTCTCCACCATGGCTGACACGGTGGTCCAGATCGAGAAGGGCTTCTTCTACCAGGTCAGTGTCCAGAACCAGCCTCTGCTGCTGATGCACGCCGTCTACTCACGCCACCCTACCTGCCTCGAGTCGATCGAAGACGTGGTGTCGCTCTTACTGGACTTGGAGGGGCTGGGCGTGTGTCAGGGCTACCAGAACTTCCACATGGGCTCACCTTGGGAGCCTAGAATGAGCGTGAGAGCGGCTCTGTGCGATTTACTCATTCCCAAGGACGAGGAACAGTGTCCAAAATGCACACAGCCTGTGGAGGGTTGAGCAGCCGTGCGAGAATTTACTGTGAGTTTTCGACACATCTAGTAGTTCGAGAGAATCTTCCACCAGTTTTTAAGCTTATAGTGCAGTCAGAGCTGTTTCCGACCTCATGATGAATTGACATCTAAAATGGTGCTTCTTATTTAGTTTATTTTTTTAGTTTTTTAAGAAAGAAGTTAGTGACACAACCTTCAAAAAAGGACTCGTAAAACACTGAGTTTTACCGAAATCCCTTCTTATCGTTGCTTTCTGGTTGGGTTTAGGACATAAATACATTCAGTTCTCATTTAAACTACCTCTTCATTATTTTATGGACCAATTTTAACCTTAAACCTCCTACATGCCCTTATTGATTCAGACGTTTGGTGAACAAGTTTATTGTAGTACAATGAGAAGTATGGAAGCGTGTTTCCGCCATAAGGTAAAAAAATTTTTTTCTCAAAAATCAGACTTTTCAGACAGCGATATAAAATCTGAATTTCAAGATATAAAGTCAATTCTGGGAGGAAAAGTGCAAATTGTGCAATCACAATTGCCGGGAATTGTGAGATGAAAAGTCGCTTTTTTATTTTGTGGCGGAAGCAAAAAAAAACAATTGCGAGGTGTAAACTGAGAATTTCGAGAGAAAAAGTCTGAGTTACGAGATGTAAGCTTGGAATTGCGAAAATGAACATCAGAATTTAGATCAGAGTTTATATCTCGCAGTTCTGAGAAAAAAAGTCTGAATTGTGAGATAAAATCACAGTTGCCATATTATTATTTTTTTATCCTGTGGCAAAAACGGGCTTCCGTAGAAAAGTGTATTCTGTACTGCCTTTGTCGTGCTAAATTTGGGGTTGTATGTTCAAATCTAAAGTTGTTTGAACACAATTTTAAACCAAAATCATTCAACCTTTAAAAATCGTCTGTTTTTTTTTTATTGATGCCTTACACTGTAAGGTGCAACTTTTTACCCCAAAGCGAGCACACCGTCTTTCATTAGGTGTGTTTTATGTTTTTTTTGCAGGATTCTCATTACGAGTGTTTTTATGTGATCTGGTCTTTTTTGTCCTGTTGTTAATCACACCTGCTTCATGTGACTGAATTGTGTTACGTATGATAAAGTGCAACTAATGGCACTGCGATCAGCAATGCATTTTTGCTGTTGTGTGTATTATTCCCAGCCTACAGTAGACATCCGACCAGAGGACATTTCACTGATCGGCCTTTATTTGGTTTACATATATTTGAATTCTTCCTAGGAGATAAATCGATGCAGTTAACATTTGACTAGTTTTTTATTTCAGTGCAACATTGTTTTTCATTCCTGAGGGATTTTAATTCATATGTTTAAGGCAGATTTTCCTGGAGATCTGTATAAAATAAGCTGTAAAGTATACATAATTGTCTGAAATTATTTATAAATGGAGGATGCAAGCTAGAGGTGTTTCTGAGAGCATCTCTGTATTGTAAATCTTGTTCTCTTGTTCTGTTTAACCACCGAGTTCAGTTTTTGAAACACTGTAAAGTAAGATTTTTATGACGAGTGGGTAAAATAAAGGTTTCTTTTTTCTTATATAGAGAGAAAATTCTGCTCTTTTTTTCTGTCTGAAGTGACAATCAGAATCATTCTTGATCCATGATGAAATGCAGGGGTTTTTGAACTTTTTGGTCTATGAAAAATGTATGAAAAAAACATTAACTTTGCAACATGTACTTTTTGATGTGGTAACTTGCAATTAATAAAATATAATTTCATGCAATTAAATTGATTGAATTTGACCTGTCCGATTTTGATTATTCAGTTGACAACATTTGTAATGTAATTCAAATTTGACTTTCATTTATTTAAGAAAAATGGGGGTTGTGAACAACATTTGCTGTGAAAAGCGGTATACAAATACGTTTAGATAGAATTAAAAATGTTTATGCATCCATCAGTTAACAAACATACACGACATATGCTGTCAACTTTCCAAAACATTTAAAAATAATAATTTTTGGCTCTAGTACAGTGGCGAATTAAAAGTCAATTATTTATTCAGAAACTACATGTATAATATCATGCTTGCGTTTTTAGTCTCACAGTATAAATTGGAATTTATGCATGAAAATATAGAGATGGCTTTATATTTTCTGAGATTTCCTAGCAAGAGGATCATCATATGTGGATGTTGAAAGCCCTGATGTAAGTGTCGGTTCTTTGTCATTTCAACAGTATTCCACAAGAGGGATTCATTCTCTTAATTTAGCAGTGCATGTAGATGCAGCAGATGCTTATGAATGGATCTTTTTCAAGTGACACTTTACTGCTCTCTTGAAAGACTTCTTGAAAGATTTCTACTATGGAAGACAAAAATGTTATTTCTGTATTTGCTGTGACTCTTGGAGACACCTGCAGTCAGTTCCTATGGGTTGAGCAGCGAGTCGAGAGAGAGACTCATTCATGGTGTTGTGCATCGATCCTGAATGAGCTGCTTTGTTTCCATACGGAAGTGAGAGGAAAGTGACCCCAGTGGCCTTCCGTCTGATATCTGGCTTTCGCATTCAGTCACCGTCTGATATTCATATCCTCCTTGTATCACTATTTTAGCGTGTGTGCTTTCAATGGATCTGCCAATTACAAAGCAGCCTATATATAAAAGAGAATGAGGCTGTCAAAAATAGAAAATATATAACCTATACAAACTTTACATCAAAAGAGGCTCCATTTTATTATTACATTTTCGTATTCTTTTGCATTATTCTTTTGTATTAAAGGGCTAGTTCACCATCAGTTGAACCATCGTTTTTTTCCCCCTCCATACTATGGAAGTCAATGGGGACCAGCAGCTGAAGGTGAACTAGCCCTTTAAGACACCGCTACAGCTTTTGAATTTTTGTGCAGGATTTCAGGCCTGTGTTGAGGACAGAAACCATTAACAAATCAAACTCAAGCAGAGATATTGAATGGGAAGCTGATTTATCCACCAATTCTTAATCTCCAACGAGGCTTTATGGATTATGGCTGTGGATTAACCCTTAAAATGCCAGAGAAGGGTCAGTAATCAGGCATTAGTCAGAGAATTAATAACACAGCTGATGCATAACAATTTACAGTTTCATTGTGCTTTTTTTCCTTTTTTTAATGTTGACTATATATATATAGAGAGAGAGAGATTATATATATACACACACAGGTGCATCTCAATAAATTAGAATGTCGTGGTAAAGTTTATCTTTTTTTCAGTAATTCAACTCAAATTGTGAAACTCGTGTATTAAATAAATGCAATGCACACAGACTGAAGTAGTTGAAATCTTTGGTTCTTTTAATTGTGATGATTTTGGCTCACATTGAACAAAAACCCACCAATTCACTATCTCAACAAATTAGAATACTTCATAAGACCAATAAAAAAACATTTTTAGTGAATTGTTGGCCTTCTGGAAAGTATGTTAATTTACTGTACATGTACTCAATACTTGGCAGGGGCTCCTTTTGCTTTAATTACTGCCTCAATTCGTGTGTGTGTAATTTGTATATATTATACTTAATATGTTGTAAATTCTATATAATAAATTATCTATTTATCTATTTATAATATATAGTATACATATGATCTATAATAATATACAAGTATATAATACTTAATTTGTTATATATATATATATATTTAACTTTATATTTATTACTAATTATAATAATTGTATATATTCAGTGTTCCTACAGAAATATATATAAAATAATAAATGATCAAATAAATTAGTAATTTATATATTAATTAATATATTTATACTAATTACTTATTGGTACATTTTATGACAGGCAATGTTTTAGTATATTGATTATTTTCTTAGTTGTAAATAGATTGTTCTTTATTTAATTGAAATATTTTTAAATTCAATAAAATAAAGAATAAGTTTTATTTTTTTTTATGTACATTTGATATATGTTTATTTTTATATAGATATATATATTCACTATTTGTGTTTCCGTACTGTGGCACTGAACGGGTTAAACGAGACACAAGCCACTAAATGTGGATGAAATGTGATTGGTTTGGTGCCTGTGTGTAGATCAACGCAGGATAAAAAATCTCCAGCCCTTGCAGATGGAGGGGGAAGAGAGGCTGGCATTACCGCATGCTGTGTGAACACAGGGGGGGGTGTTGAAGAACAGGCGATGATTATGATGATCTGGAATCGATGAGCAGAAGACAGTCATGCAGCTGAATGAAGGACTAAAGACGCCCCGGAGATGCTCGTGAGATGATGCAGAGGGACGCACGTGGATGGCAGAGACCCCAGCATCCTCTCAGGTATTTAGAAACGGGCAGATGTTGTGATCGCTGCTGCACTGATCGGATGTTGCATTGAGGAGCTGCTGGGTTTGCATGCAGCACATGGTCTGCAGCGCAAAACAAACACGTTTGAGAATGAATTCCGCGACAATGAGCTATTAGTGGCACTGAACGGGTTAAACGAGACACAAGCCACTAAAGGTGGATGAAATGTGATTGGTTTGGTGCCTGTGTGTAGATCAACGCAGGATAAAAAATCTCCAGCCCTTGCAGATGGAGGGGGAAGAGGGGATGGCATTACCGTGAGCTGTGTGAACACAGGGGGGGTGTTGAAGAACAGGCGATGATTATGATGATCTGGAATCGATGAGCAGAAGACAGTCATGCAGCTGAATGAAGGACTAAAGACGCCCCGGAGATGCTCGTGAGATGATGCAGAGGGACGCACGTGGATGGCAGAGACCCCAGCATCCTCTCAGGTATTTAGAAACGGGCAGATGTTGTGATCGCTGCTGCACTGATCGGATGTTGCATTGAGGAGCTGCTGGGTTTGCATGCAGCACATGGTCTGCAGCGCAAAACAAACACGTTTGAGAATGAATTCCGCGACAATGAGCTATTAGTTAGTTACACACGTGGTTTGTGCAGAAATGTAAAGTTTTATTGTTATGCATGCGTTGTTTCGGTCTGAGTTTGTGAATGTTTAGTACTGATGCTTACATTGACATTTATATTGTGACTGGTTTTTAAGTATGATTTTTAATTCATATGTATACAACTATTTTTTTTGCGCATTCTTATCGTGCTGTGTAAAGTCTGACCCCTGATCTCAGTGCGGTTGGCAGTGTTTGGAGATTTGAGTGTCCTCGCCTGAGATCCACGCGCGGGATCAGGTACATTAATGGGGTCACACATGCACCTCAGCGCGTTAACTGTTGTGTTAATTAATAGCAGTTGTGTTTACTTATTATGTTAATGTGCTAGAGTAAAAGTGTAACTCGATGTGTGCAGTTTTTGGGCATGGACACACGCGTGGGAATGTTGCGTTGCTCCTGCGCGGAGACTTGGGCGTGTTCAATTTTCATCCGCACTTACTTTTCCGCGTTAATGTTTATAACAGCGCACCGATTTTCCTCGGACCATGGTTATTAAATCTCAGCTAATAATTTACCCGTGCACTCTAAGAAATGCTGGGTTAAATATAACCCAGCTCTGGGTTAAAAAGGGACAACCCCAGCTATTGGGTTGTTTTGACCCAGTGGTTGGGTTGTTTTGAAAACAACCCAACCACTGGGTCGAAACAACCCAACCGCTGGGTCGAAACAACCCAACCGCTGGGTCGAAACAACCCAAATGCTGGGTCGAAACAACCCAACCGCTGGGTCGAAA